GAGTTATCGGAGTAGAGCGCATGAACTTGATGAGAAGCAGCATGAACTAAGTCTGAAGGAAGGTGCCATAGCGTCTTTGGAAGATGAGAAGTCTCGTTATGAGGCGACGATATCAGAGAAGGATGCTCAGCTGATGGCAGCGCAAACTGAAGCGAGTGCATTAAAAACTGAAAAAGAAAATCTTTTACTAGCTCATGATCTCATGTCGGTGCAGCTGGCTAAAATTGAAGAAACGGCCAGAGAAAAAGATGAGCAGCTCATGAGGCTAAGGGCTGAGCTTCAAGCTGTCCGCAAGGACCGATCTGCTAAGGATGCCGAACTGATTCGATGCCGCGAAGCCCGTGAGATTGCTATGAGTAAACTTCGTCAGGAGATGACAGCTGCCGCCGACCTCAAATTCCAAGAAGGCGTTGACGTCGGTAAAAAGGCGGTGGCTGAATCCGACAAAGCAGTGAGCGTAGATGTGGTGACCGAGTGGGATCTGGAGCTAAATGCCACACTAACGGTACGTTGGGTGATTGACAGGGTGGAGAACGGTATCTACACCATTGATGAGCTGCGTATTTTTCTTTTGCACAAAATGGAGAAATATCGCCTCAACCCTGAAATAAAAAATGCTCATATTCCGGCGGACCAGGATGAGCGAGACTTCACCGACCGACTCCTAAAGCAGAAGGAGAGTCGGATGCTGGAATTAGACATGGCGCCGCTATCGGAAGAGCGCAGGGCCAAGATCCGCCGGGCCTTTGTCAACATGGTCCTTGAAGTTGAGAAGGTTAAAAAACTCGACTTAGCGAACATGTGTGTTGAGGCGATTGTTGAGGCGTTCGTCATCGAAACTTTGGAGGGCCTATCTGATGAAGAGTTAATGGAGGCAATTACTGGTTTTGCCTCGAGGAAAGTGGCCGAGGATGACGCCAAAGCCAAAGGGTGGCTAACCGAACTGATCCCCTCCGACGACGATAGAGTCTTGCACGAGGACGACGATGTCGTCATTATAAAAGAAAGTGACGTCGTCCGTGCTATGGAAGAGAATGAGGAAGAGGTGATGCAACGCCTGGGCGAGAGATTGATAACCCATCTGGAGGCGGCAGACAAGAGCAAAACAGAGGTGGGAAACTCCCAGTCTTCTATAGCCGGAGAGGCTTCGTCGTCGGGGACCAAAAAGGATGAATAATCTGCCTTCTTCTTTTTCTTTTTCTTTTCTCTTTTTTCTTCTTTTTTTTGAATCGTATTTAATGGCAAT